TAAATTATTGATTAGAATTGATTAGTTTTTCAAATAATAGATTAGAATTGATTAATTTCTAAATATATACTAAAAAATTATAATTAAAACTATAAATTAGTTAAGAATATTGACTATTGTAAAGATAAAGTAGAACATGGGAGGAGATGAGGATGATATAATATAATGATAGAACTTACAAAAATGTAGAATTGAGAAGTTTAAAAAAAATTAAGAAAATAGAGATTTAATTATACTTTTAATAAATTTAAGATAATACTAGTTTTTAAACCTTTTTCTAATATTTGTTTTTAAAAATATAATATCATTTTTAATATTTTATAGATTTTATATTTATATATTTATAAAAGTAATTGGATTAAATTTATTATCCTCTCATATATTATTATACATTTAGCGTAATTTTAGTTTATTTAAAAATTAGAATACAAATATACTATACCAATATACCATTATATTATTTTCATTGTATATAAATTACAAAATTAATAATTTGTATACTATACTATACTAACATATTATTTGTATACTATACTAATAGTATAATATACTATATTATAATATTATTTGTATACAAAACTAATATCTTTATATATAAATATATAAATATGGAAAGATATAAATATATGTAAAAATATAAACATATAAATATATATAAATATGTAAAGATATAAACATATATCTTTAATATTTTGTAAATGTAAATATAATTTTTATATATTTTTAAATCTTTTTCTAATATTTATTTTTAAAAATATAATATTATTTTTAAAATTTAATATTTTTTTTCAAATATATAAATATATAAAGATATAAATGTATAAGGATATAAATAAATATATAAATATATCAATATATAAATATATCAAAATATAAAAATATAAATATATAAATATATTAATATATAAATATATCAATATATAAATATATAAATATATATAAATATATATATATATATATATATATATATACAAATATATCAATATTATCCCCTCATATATTAATATACATTATTAGCATAATTTTAATTTAATTAAAAATTAGAATACAAATATACGATACTATACTAATATACCATTATTTGTAGATTTTATATATTAAAATATATAAATATATTTTTATTTATAGATTTTATATTTATATATTTATACGGATATACATTTATTTGTATATAAATATAATTTATTTGTAAGTTATTATTAAAAGATCCTAGTAGCTCGGTGGTTGGAGTTTCAGCCTCCAACTCTAAGGTACCGGGTTCGAATCCCGACAATGACAATAAACCACCTAATAATAAGTTAAACTTCTAAAAAATATAATAAAGATAGGGGAAATAAATATAAATAAAAAATAGTGACCGATTTGGTTATATATAATCGGTCACTAAAATCAGTGACCGATTCTAGTTGGTCACTATTTCGGTCACTATTTTAATTAGTAACCGATTTTGTAGATTTAGTGACCGAATTTTCGGTCACTATTTGATGTTTTTCTTGTAGTGCAAAAGAGTTTGTAATTCATAGTGATCATGAATCTCTGAAATACTTAAAGGGACAAGGTAAGTTAAACAAGAGGCATGTCAAATGGGTTGAGTTCTTGGAGCAATTTCCATATGTCATCAAGCATAAAAAGAGAAAAGGGAATGTAGTAGCTGATGCACTTTCTAGGAGACATGCATTACTTTCTATGCTTGAAACTAAATTGTTTGGTCTTGAATCTTTGAAAGACATGTATGTGAATGATGTGGATTTTGCTGAAACTTTTGCTGCATGTGAAAGGTTTTCTAAAAATGGTTACTTTAGGCATAATGGATTCTTGTTTAAAGCAAATAAATTGTGTGTGCCTAAGTGTTCCATTAGAGAGTTGCTTGTGAGTGAATCACATTAAGGGGGTTTGATGGGTCATTTTGGGGTTCAAAAGACTTTAGAAATTTTGCAAGAACATTTCTTTTGGCCTCATATGAAACGTGACGTGAATAAGTTTTGTGATCATTGCATTGTGTGTAAAAAGGCTAAATCTAAGGTTATGCCTCATGGGTTGTATACTCCTTTACCTATTCCTAAATATCCTTGGACTGACATTTCTATGGACTTTATTTTAGGGCTGCCTAAAACAAAGAATGGAAAGGATTCTGTGTTTGTTGTTGTTGATAGGTTTTTAAGATGGCACATTTCATACCTTGCAAGAAGGTAGATGATGTTTGTCATGTGGCTGATTTGTTTTTCAAGGAAGTAGTAAGGCTACATGGGCTGCCGAGGAGCATTGTGAGTGATAGGGATTCAAAATTTCTTAGTCACTTTTGGAGAACCTTGTGGGGTAAGATTGGTACTAAATTATTGTTTTCTACTACTTGTTACCCATAAACTGATGGTCAAACTGAGGTAGTCAACAGGACTTTAGGCACATTGCTTAGGACTATTTTAAAGAAAAATCTTAAGACTTGGGAAGCATGTTTACCGCATGTTGAGTTTGCTTATAATAGGGTTATCCATAGCACCACTAATTGTTCACCATTTGAGATTGTGTATGGATTTAATCCTTTGACTCCTCTTGATTTGTTGCCTTTGCCTAACATTTCTATGTTTAAGCATAAGGAAACACAGACTCAAGCAGAATATGTGAAGAAGTTGCATGAGCAAGTAAAAGCTCAAATTAAAAAGAAGAATGAGAGCTACGTGAGGCAAGCTAACAAGGGTAGGAAAAAGCTGGTGTTCCAACCTGGTGATTGGGTTTGTGTACACATGAGAAATGAAAGGTTTCCTGAACAAAGAAAGTCTAAACTTCAACCTAGAGGAGATGGGTCATTCCAAGTCTTAGAGAAGATCAATGATAATGCTTATAAGATTGATCTACTAGGAAAGTATAATATAAGTTCTTCTTTTAATGTTGTTGACTTGACTCCTTTTGATGCAGGAGATGAATGATGTGGACATAAATGCCCAAACCCATAACGAGAATGATCAAGACCAAGATCCAATCCAAGACTTAGGTGGACCTATGACAAGAGACAGACTCAGAAAAACATAAGAGGCATTGCAATACAAAGTGACCAATTTGCTAAAGGCCCAACTATTACAAAATCCAAACATGGAGGAGTCTAGACCTATCACATGCATAGAATGTTTGGAGAGCTAGGAGGCGGGGATTTGAACACAAGACCCAAAGCTTATAATGCCTTCACTGAACCATCTGGGTAACTTTACTTTGCTTGGGATATTAGGATTTTAATTTATCTTTATTTCCTGCAATGAGACAAACTCATAAACTTAAGTTATATTAAACATTTGGGAATTCAGAATCACTTTGTGAGTTGTTGCTCTGGTAGGGTTTTTCCTTGCATCACTTGAACTTATCAAGAATTATTCGATTCTTGTGGCGATCCTTCTTGGCTTATCAAATATTCTTATTTGTGACGCCTACGGTATCTTTTATGTTTTTTTTTGTTTTATATTTCTAATCAAATCAACTCTTAAAATCTAATCCTAAATTGTTTCCCTTCTATTTGCTGAACGTAATATGTTCTTAGTATATTGATTTTAAGGTTAACAAAATCTTATTTATATTTTATTTTTAATTATTAAATCTTTTAATACGTACAACACAAACATCATCATTAATTTATCATTACATGAAAAAGTAATTAATTTTATTTATATTTAGATATAAGTAATTTTAATTATAGTAAATTTTATTTTTTTATTCTATAATAACAAATGCATTAAATTTTTATCTTGAAAATTTAATATCATAAATATAACATTATAAAGAATAAATTTATTTAAAACATTTACTGTAGAAGTAGGCATTAAACTTTTATTCTAGAAATAAATGCTTTAAATTATTTTTATCTATATCTTTAAAATTTAATATCATAATTATAACGTTATAAAGTAATAAATGAATTTAAAACATTTACTATAGGAGTAAGCATTAAACTTTTATTCTAGAAATAAATGATTTTTATCTATATCTTTAAAATTTAATATCATAATTAAATCATTATAAACTATTGATGAGAAAATATTCTTTGTCGTAAAGATTTTAATGAATACTATAAGAATATTTCCTAGTTTAAAATATGTAAAAATATATCAAGATGTACATATGTGTATTATATCTAATTTAAATTGATCAAAGAGTTATTTTAAAAAATAAAAATTAAAAAAATAACCAGGTATACATAAAATTGGATAATTATTTTATAATTACGATACTAAAAAGTTAATAAACATTGTCTAATAAATTTAAATATAAGTAAATTTCAATTAACTTTGTGTTATTTAATATTTTTATTTAAAAATATCATTTTTTTTAATTGTAACATCATCTATAACTATATATAATCATCTATAATAACGTTTGTAATTCTTTTATATTAAGAGAAAAATAAATTTATCATAATTTATAAGAGAAAAAAATATAATATGTAATTAATAGAAAAAAGTAAATATATTTAAAAAATAAAAAAATTAATTACACGTTTTAACACCCTGTTTTTATTAGTATATATATATATATATATATATATATATATATATAATTATATGATGAAATGTTTTTTATAATATTTTTTGTCAGAATAAAAAAATAAAGTATCATAATTTAAAAAATATTATTATAATTTGTATATTTAAAAATAATAAAATATATAAAAAGTAAAAAAATATGATATATAATTAATACAAAAATAATAAATATATTTAAAAAATAGAGATAAAAAATAAAATAAAATTTTAAAAATTAATTATACAGAAAACGTGTTTTCCGTGCTTGCAGAAGATATGATCAAGAGCAATTTAGAATTTTATTTTGTGAAAAAAAAATACTAGATGTGGAAAAGAAAATTATATGACTGAAAAAATAAATAAGTAAAAAAAGTTTGGGGGATTGCTGGCAGGGTACGGTCCAGAAAGGGAAAGAAGTCGCAATTAATGGATAATTAATTTTGGGATGGCGTTGTTTGAAAAATAAAAATAAAAAAGAGAGAAAGAAAAAGGAAAATGGGCACAGCAACGTTTTGGTGGAGAGCGAGGAGTATAAGTGTAGGAGTAGGAAGTGATTGGAGGTTGTACGAAGCCAGAATCCAGAAAAGGGGCATTGTCGTGTCAACGAGAAGAAGGTCTTCGTCGCTACCAACACTAATCGTTTCTTCAATGCCTTACGAGAAGGAACTCGCCGCTGCAAAGAAAGCAGCCACTCTCGCCGCTCGTCTCTGCCAGGCATCCATCCTCTCAATTTCCTTTCTCTTTCCCGTTTATGCCTCTCCACATTTTCTCTTTACCATCGCCATTTTTATACACAAAAGAAAAACCCTTATTTTGCGTTTTATTGAATTCTTTAGACTACTTTTGCGTAATTGCATGTTTTGTTTATGTTGCAAAGTCTGGTCAGTAGAATTCTTTCATTTTTCTCTAATTTTTTATATTTTTTTCTCTGAAAGGCTGCAACGATTAAATAAAGAAATGCTGATATAATACTAATGGTACTGAGTGATTCTTCTTTGCATGATTTGTGCAGAAAGTACAGAAGGCTCTTCTGCAATCCGATGTTCACTCAAAGTCAGACAAAAGTCCCGTTACAGTGGCTGATTATGGTTAGCTGTCTTACTCCTGTGAGCATTGTGTTTGATTACATTTGTTGATGTTGAATCGTTTTTTTTTCTGCAAGTGCTCACATTGACTAGCTAATTGTAGTTGGAAAATGAAAAGTTTAGTTGTTAAATATTGACTGAGTAGAAGAAGTGCTGGTTGGGTATAATGTTATGCTCTTGGTCTAGTTGTTACGGGTATTTGTACCGGTTGGATTATTTCTAGATTATTTGAAGCTGAACAATGGGAATGGTGTTTGCTTTTTGTTGTCTGCTCAAATAATTTTATTTTTTTCAGATGTATAATAGAGGGTTACTGATTTGATCACAACATTTCGTGCATGTTGTATAGTTTATCAGCTTGAGTGAGACATTTCATATGCTATTAGAAAAGTCATAATTTGATTTCAAGGTACTTTGTTGTTTCAGTGCTTTGAAAAAAATTCTTGTTCCTCTTCCTCATTGAGTCCACTCCTATGAGTTTTTCACTCTCAAATTTTATTTTATTTTTTGCTTATAATGGGTATAGATGATGTGTTCTATTAATATTTTAATAATTCGGGTTACAAGAATGAGCCAACAAATTTAGTTTTGAAATCTATTGCATTTCTCGAACGAGAGTAAGGCTTAAGCTTTGGGGGAGCTGTTTCCTTTAAACTATTGCTACAAATACAAGCACTAAACCGATGATTTATAAGTCCTAGCATACTAGTTTTAAACCATGTATTGAAACTCTCTTTTAGTTGATAAACTATGATGATTAGCTAGTATAAGCCAATTCTTGAAATCATGTTTGATGATTTACTACGTATAGCCAAGGTTGCCTAGTGTAAAGCATTTTTTCTTACAGGACAGATATTAGCAAAAACCTTCCACTTGTATAAATTTGCTTCTATGTTTATGATGGGCAAGTGTACGACTATACCAAATTGTTCCCTCTGTAATTTATGTATCTCTATCACATTATGTATTTTTCTGCTACGAGTCGCCATATTTTATTGATTGTTTTGTATATTTAGCTGAATCAGCAAGTTCTTGGGCAAATTTCTTGAGCATAAAAACTAGTCCTTATGCATATTAGTGGATATTTCTGCTACCACCACCCCAATAAATAGTGGATGTTCCATATTTTCTTTGTAAGGTGGCAATTTAAATTGCTTCTAGAAACCTTTTTTTTTTTTTTTCAAAGATCATATAATATTATGACCATGTGCTTCATTACTTATTTTATAGACCACGTGCAAGATAGTTATTTACAATTTTAGCAATAATTTTTCATTCTATATTATTTTAGTTTCTACACTTGTTCATTGAGGTTTAGATGAAATGTCTTAACGTCATATAAATTGTGTTGCTTTCTCATGATTTGCAGGTTCACAGGCATTGATCAGCTTTATACTTGAGAGAGAACTTCCCTCTGAACCATTTTCAATAGTAGCTGAGGAGGTGAAATTGTAAACTCTTACAGGTTTCTTGGACATGCAGACTTTGCTTTCCTTTCCATACTTGAGGATAAAGTCCTATTTTAAAATTTCAGGATTCAGGGGATCTTCGTAAGGAAAGTGGGCAGGACACACTGAAGCGCATTACAGAACTTGTCAATGACACTCTTGCTAGTGAAGGATCAAATAGCTTTTCTATTTTAACAACAGATGATGTGCTTACGGCCATTGACAATGGCAAGTCTGAAGGTGGCTCTGTTGGACTGCACTGGGTCTTGGATCCGATAGATGGTACTAAAGGGTGAGTATCCTTTTTTTTTCCTTCAAAAAAATTTATTATGGTATCAATGCTCTCTTCTGTTTGTCAAAGTTTCATTAGTTTATCTTCCTTAAAAAATGTAATATTCTTGCAGCATGGAGTTGTTTATAATATCTCATGTCAAAAGTATACGCATTTATCTAGAATTATTAATCTTGATTATCGACTAAGATTGCAGTTGTCATTAAGCATCTTACTTTGTTTAAGAAGTAAGGGCAAATTAGTGGTTGAAATCCATTGACTTTCACTTCAAAGGTCAAAACAACATATAGCTATAATAGTGATTTTAATTTTGACAAAGACATTATTTTTTACCTGATGGTGAAATTGTCTATCTAAAGGACCATTTAATTTGATAATATTTTCTGTTTTCATTTTATATTTTCACTTTTAGTTTTTTTTTTTTTTTTTTTTTTTTTTTTTTAAATAAGGCCACCATGTTGTCATCTTACTTCCTGTTTTCAAAAGTTTGTACAGTAGTAAACAGGAAAAACAACTTATTTTTTTCTACTTTCATTTTCTTTTGTCACTGTTTCATGTACAAACTTTTAAAATCAGGAAACAAAGTGAAAACATAAAATGAAAATAGAAAACGTTTTCTTAAAGCAAAAGTCCTCAAGTTGTCTAGAACACTTCAGGGTTATGAAATTTGGAATATCTGTTCATACTAAATGAGATTTTAAATCTATATTTTTGGAGTCATAAAAAATTTGATAACATAAAATACTAGTATATCAGTATTTACTTTTATTTCCTATTATTGTCAAAATAGTTAAACATTTGATTAAGTAATTATTTTTCATCATTATTTCTTATTTTACTGTCTATACTTTGATACCATTATTTCACTTGCTTGGTCACTGTGCTATTATTGAGATCATGTGCCATTGAGTAGCTCATACTAGTGAAATGACGTTATAGGTTTGTTAGAGGAGATCAATATGCTATAGCATTAGGTTTGCTACATGAAGGAAAGGTTGTATTGGGTGTCTTGGCTTGTCCAAATCTTCCACTAGCATCTATTGGCTCTAATCAGCAGCATTCTTCAAATGAAGTTGGCTGTCTTTTCTTTGCTAAAGTTGGTGATGGAACATATATGCAAGCACTGGGTGGTTCTACACAAACTAGGGTTGGTCTTCCAAAATGTTTCCTTGTCACTTTTGGTAATGTTATTGACTGTTGTGCTATATAACCTATGATCATTCAGGTGCATGTCTGTGATATTGATAATCCAGAGGAAGCATCATTTTTTGAATCTTTTGAAGCAGCGCACTCCTCACATGACTTGTCTAGCTCCATCGCTGAAGTAATGTTATTTCTGTGTTTAACACATTTGTCTTTTTCATTGTTTTTTAGTTTTTCTTTTAGCTCTTTTAGATTTAATTACAGACAATTCTTCAACATTATTACTTCATGAACAGAAACTTGGTGTCAAAGCACCACCAGTCAGAATTGATAGCCAAGCAAAATATGGAGCTTTGTCAAGAGGAGATGGGGCTATATATTTGCGTTTCCCTCACAAAGGATATCGTGAAAAAATATGGGACCATGCTGCTGGAAGCATTGTTGTGACTGGTACTATTTTTCATTATCTTTTTCTTTCTGTTCTGAATTATTTCTTTTCATGAACAATTTGACTTATCTTTTTCTTGGTAAACATGCTCTGCATAAAATGAGTGAGCATAACTGTCCAGACTTGATCATAAATAATATTTGGCTCGCTGTTTATGTTTATCAAGTGTATGTCCTAGTCAATGTCTATGTTTACTAGGATCTGGACTCTCTTCAAAATACATATAGAATATAGAATAAGTTTCTGGAATATGTTTTAGGCTTTATGAAAAAATGTTTGAACTTTAAATGAATTTAATGCTTCATTATTGTAGTTAAAGTTTATACTTTTGTAACATATTTAAGGAGCTGGCAACTTTTTCTAAACCTCTTTTTTATTTATGCTTTTTGAATGGTGCATCCTGGAGCATGATGTCAAGGAGCCCTAGATAAAAAATTTAAATTAATCCTCTTCTTTGATAAGTTCTAAACCATTTCCATCATTTAGCAACTTCGCGTTATTTATGGTAATGAATTTCAACACCTTGAAGGGAAACAATGAAGTATTTCAAGGAAAAAATAATACTGGGCTCAATTTGAAGATAATACAACATAAATTTTGATGACTAGGATTAGGTTTACTTCATTGTGAAATTCAATGATAGTGAATAAAGCTACAGGATTAGTATTTTTAGGGGTTAGGGAAGTGATAGATATTTGTGCTGTGAATATCATCCAAAAATATTGTAAGGTAAATGGAACTCATACATGATGCATACTCATTCTTACGGTAGAATTTCAAATTTTAACTCTGGCATTGCACTAGCAAAATGATATTAATGGATTTTAATTTCTTCATATTAAAATCTGAAGAGATATTTTGATTGCTCTTCTCCTAACACCTAAGAAGAGTTGGATTTTAGGTAGGGAATTAGCAGTAATTCATTTTCCAAAGTGAGGGCACCCAAAATTCTTGGTAAGAGAATATGAAGTACAAATCATAAAACATGTCATTCTGTTCCAAATTTTCAGTAGTTTCCAGCTCAAACTAAACTATTTTAAATTGCTCCATTTGAATAGTCAACTCTGTCTGACAGTAATGTTGCATCTTATGATATTCATTCGGTGTGGACTGTATAATAAACACTGCTGTTAGATGTTTCTTCACATGTTTTAAAGTGCTGGTGAATATTTATATCAATCTGTTTATGTTTGACTTGCCTTTATCCTGTTATTTGGCATTGATCTTTCTTACGTCTTATGATGGTCAGAAAAATAATTTGAATGCACTACTGTTTTCTTGTTGCTCGTGGAAGGTGTTGGGGGAGGGGGATTGAAATGTTGTATCTAGTCATTGTCATTTCCCTTCAATGTTAGACACCTAACATGTATGGTAATTTTTCCCTAGTTTAATTATTTTCTAAAATATGATGAAAACTAAAAAAACAAAAAAACTGCAAAATATAGAAAAATAGTTGTAAGGCAGTTTGGTACTACAAGATTGCCGAGAAGTTGCTTGTTAGGGGGAGTTGGGTTTTGAATATTCTTCAAATGGATTTATTAAGCTTTCCAACACAACACAAGTCCTCATTACAGTGATGACATTATCCTCTAATGGATGAGTTATATATACTGAACTCTTCTATTTGAATGACCTATGTGATTTTCATTGACAATGGATAAATAGTTAGGTTCCTGTTAGATTGTTGAATGGGTCTTCTAATTCTAATCTATAAATGCGATTGGAATTTTGTAGAAGCTGGAGGCATCGTCACGGATGCTGCGGGGAATCCTTTGGACTTTTCAAAAGGAAAGTTTCTTGATGTTGTTTCTGGTATTATTGTTACAAACCAGAAATTAATGCCATCGCTTCTGAGAGCAGTTAAAGAAGCACTAAATGAGAAAGCATCGTCCTTGTGATTTCCATTAAGAGAATGATTCTACAATTGAGCTTGTTTTGTTGTCGGCTCCATTATATGGGACCTTCCCCTCAATTGTGCTATATTTCCTTCACCATCTGATGAAGTTAAATACATGATTGGACATCCTCTTATTCTCTCCTTTTAGCAGATTTCTGCTCTGGTTTTTGCAGGTGCTTTTGTTTTTTCCTTCCATATACTTCTTTTTTTCTCGTTTCTTTTTTTTTTTTTCTATTAAAGAACAGAGATCTTCGTTTAAACTCGTTTGATAAATAATTCTTCTATATTAACTTGCCAGAGGGGATATGATTCCATATCGATCCAAAAGTACCACAAAATTTAGTGATATCAGGATTAAGGAATGTATGGCAAACAGAGGACTCATGTATCAAAAGCTGAGTTTGTTTTGCAGCAAATATTAACTTCGAAGCATGCAAATACAAACTTTTGAATACTATTTAAGCTCCAGTTGGTATAAACTTTAAGGTAAACAATTTAGTGCCTGTTTATGTTTCCAATATTGTTACTAAATACAGTATCATAATAATGTTTAGAAAGCTTTTAAGAATAAGAAAAACAAAGGGTTAAGTTTATATTTTTAAATCAGTCATGCTTGTTTTGGGTGGAATTCTTTAGAGAATGCTTGCTAATCACTCAGCTTCACCTTTGAGATCAATGAAACTGATTGATACACGTGAATGGATTAGGGATAGATGTACTGTACACTTGAGATATTAGTGACGCCAGATGCGGGCTTGTCCAAAAATGACTCAAAAGATTTTTTATATTTTCTTGTTTAAAATAGAAAACTATTTTGAAAAGGAGAAATCAAACTTATAAAAAATAAAAAAAAAATGCATTTTTTGAGTGACTTAGTTTAATTTTCCGTAAAGCATATACTAAACTTTTAGAGAGACTTTAAGCGGAGAATGATAATAACGTCCACAAGTTTCCTTTTTAAAGAAGGGGCAGCTCCACAAAATAGAACGAAAGAAATTCGAAATGATTATTTGTTGTTTCCATTTCTCCTAGTGAATTACATAGTACCCATGGTAGTTACCGCCGTATGCAGATAAGGTGCCAAGTGTATAACAAAAGCAACAAATTGAAAATGGAAATAAAAGGAAATTTACATAGTATGAAAAATGCTAGCATGAGGCCTTTAATGTGTGAGCCAAGCAGGCTTCTTCCTCTCCCTTTTCGGCCTAATTAGACCTTTGCTTGTTTCCAGTCCCGTCGTGTATCTCCTGGTCTAGTTTTGGGACTGTATTAATACCTTGTCCTTCAAGAGGGACCTTGCCCTGAAGCTCCAAATGAGGATAAGTTGCTCTTAACTCTTCCTCATCTTCCCAACTAGCTTCCGCCTCCACACGCTCCTACTGCACAAGAACCTGAGATTGGGAACCACATCCTCCTTTAATGGTGCGAAACCCCACAATCTGACATGGAGTGAGCAGAACACGTTGAGAAATGCACGCAGGCTAAGGCGTCATCTTGAAAGTTGATTGGCCATGACATACATGGTCGTAGCTTAGAGACATGAAATACGCAATGCATGCCAAAGAGTCTGACAAACCTTACCCACAGCGCACAAAATCAAGAAAGGGCCATAAAAACGAGGAGCGACTTTCGGAACTGATGTTTGACGATACGGTTCCAGGCGTGGATACACCCATTCTCCTTCACTAAAGGTACGATCTTGTTCGTGGGCATTGGCCAAAGAACGCATTATCAGTTGGGACTCGGTGAGGTTTTCGCGTAACACACAAGGTAATGGGATGAACCCTTTGAGACAGCACGCTACCGATGGCATTGGAGTAGGGACGTACGCGGGTTGGGTAGGATTTGGCCAAAACCGTTTACCAAACCAATGAAAAAATTGTCGGCTAGAATTGGATTTTCGCATTATTTGTGGTAGATGCGACCTGGAGCTGTAAAAATAGTTTTAATTCATAGTTCGAAAAATAATGGTTAGTTGGAAAATAAGTCAAATTAAATTAAAAATTTATGATTTAAATAAAATTAGGTAAATTTTGGTGTGAATTATTTAGATTAAGCTTAAATGGGTCTAGATTAAGCTAATTTTTAATTTTATGTTCGTTTTATAAAAAAATAATTAATTAATAAAATAAAAATAATATTATTTTATTAAAAAAAATATACGTATAATAAATTGATTTGATAATATATTTTGTTATATATATATATATATATATATATATAAAATTTAGAAAGTCTTTTTTGTTTTAATCATTTTTTTTCTTTTGTTGTTACTGTTTTAAGGATTAATAAGGATTAATAATGTAAGATAACATATTCTTAAATGTATTATATTTCTAAAGTATTATGTGAGAGTTATGTTGGATAATAAGGTTAGCATGTTGAAGTAATGAAAATTTAACTTTAAAAATTACTCATGCACTTGCTAAATGTATTATTAAATATGATACTCAATTTAACTATGTGGAATATAAGAGAATTTAGAAGATAAATAAAGTTTTGAATCCTATTTTTAAATCAATTACTAAAAACATTTTAATTACAAAGGTTTATAATGTATATTTAACAAAAAAGAAAAAGTTAAAAGATGTGTTATCTAATATTTTAAATCAATTATAAGAAACACTCCAAGTTATAGAGGTTTATAACATGTATTTAATGGAAAAGGAAAAAAATAAAAAAATGTGTTATCTAATATTTACGGTAGGATATGTTTGTGCATAGACAATTATAACTCCCTAAATTACATGACTGTAACAACTCATCTATATGATTTTATACATTTGTCCGAATAGGTTGAGTTAATTTTAAATAAATAAATGAATGACATTTTTTTTTCAAAAAAATTAAAAAATAATTATATAAATCAAAAATATATTTTTAATTAGGCAAAAATGGTCCGTTAGCCGACATAGGGTCAGGCTAGGCCAAACTTTTTGGCTCATTTTAAAATATAGGTCAGACTAGACCATTAAATTTTTTTACTTGGTCCATATGATCAGGTTAAGCCAGGTTGAACCACCTATTTTGACCATCCTAATGTGATTATCTAACTATGGTTGGATGAAGTTGACTTAATTGGAATTAAGATTTTGAAAAAAATTATTTTTTAGTATATAATTTTAAATATTTTATAATGTTTAAAAATAGACAATATAATTGTTATAATTAAAAATAAACATAAAATTAAAGAAACATATCAAATATAATTTTATATTTACAAAATTAATTTAAGTATTTGAGTGAATAATGAATCATTAACGTTAAAGTTATAAATTCATTTGAAGTGCAAAAATATATGTAAGTAAACATAACATAAAACATGTAATTTATAAGAAAAAAAACCTCAATTAGAATATGTTCCTTCAATAATAGGAAGATTAATCACATATTAACATGAACATATTCAAATTGATAAAAAGCTTCTTATTTTTAGTAATCTCTAACCTCAGATAAGTTGAATTTCATCTAGTTTTCACATCAAGACACATCTTAGTCTTAGAATTTACACTAACTTCTTCTCCACATTTCTTAAAAATAGTCGTCCTACACTCAAAAGACCTTACCAACTCACATGCAACCCTTATTTTGTTAATTGAGGAGTCAATTTCCTTTAATCCATCTATCACAATCAAATTCAAAATATAAGTAGAATAATGCATATGCATGAATTCTCTATTTAATAAAGTTTGATCATTCCAAACATTAAGACCTCTATTGAGATATGAAATGGTTATATTGTTAGCACTTGTATCGATAATAGTTACATAATTAATTTATTCAATTAATTTATTCAATCACTCATTCTTTTAATCAATTATCTAATGTTATCCCTATGGTTTCACCTTTGTGGTCAACAATAAAAGAAATTTCAATGCTTTCTTATGTGACCTAAATCAATATAATAAGTTGTCACACATATTTAATTCATATTTTGAATTAATAGGTATAAATTGTAAGTGAAATCATATGTTTATTTTCATATATCAAACACTTCAACTTCATCTTTTTATTATTATATACAAGCATGCAATATCTAGCAAAAGTCACACACGGAGAAAATTTTAAAATAGGATTTAACTTTGTACATAAACTTCTTAAACCCTTCATTTTCAACGTATCTAAAACAAAGTTCATCAACTATTATCATCTTAGCAAGTGCAATAATAAGAGTTTTCTCTTGGTTGAATTCAATAAGTTTCAAATTCAGGGTGTTACGTATGTTTTTTTTATTATTATATATTATAAAATATTACATAGTGCAAAAACTTCGTAGTGAAATTTTCTCTACACTGCCAAAAATTCTTTATATATGTGCGAAAGGGGGAAGGAATGGCAGCAACAAGTGATTCTCCCTCCCATCCTTCTTCTTCTTTCGTCTAAATTTCAAGCAAATGATATTCTACTCGTGCAGGATCTGGTGAAACAGGAGAGAGCTTGAATTAAGTGGGAAAGTTTCGGTAGAAATATCACACTAGGTAAGGGGAAGTTTAATTCATTTAATATAGGAGACTTAATTACTGGTTACTCTGTGAATAAGGAGGAAAATCTGAATATTTGAACGACTAATTTTGAAAATTTCTTCATGTTTTGCCAAACTTGAAATTTTGTTGAAATTCTTGAAATTAAGGATGAATTATATGGCAAAATTGTTATTTTCAACTTAAATTGGGCATAATTCATGTTTAATTTGGATCTGGAACTAGTTTGAGTGTTTGAAACTTGGAAATTTGAAACCTGGAGGTTGGACATGGCGTACTAGGAATCGGAGGTTGAAGATGAGGGTAAATTGAAAGTTTTTTAAAAAAGATCAAGGGTAAAGTAGTCATTTTACATCTTAGGGACATAAATGAAATTTTTAAAAATGTTCAAGGATAAATAGTCATTTTAGGGACATGGAAGGAATTTTTGAAAATGTCCAAGGGTAAAATAGTCATTTTCGGGATATGGAAGGAATTTTCGAAAATGTCCAAGGGTAAAATAGTCATTTAGGGACATACA